TATATATACTGTATATATATACATACCATATATATATAGTATGTGTGTACGTGTATTGTATGCCTGTTTACGGTAAGCTTGTTTTTTCCTTCTCTCAGATTTAACGATGAATACATTTGTAGAAGATGTGGAAAATGCTTTGGAATGTTCAATTTGTTTAAAGAGACTACAACAGCCAAAGTCACTAGGCTGCCTTCATACCTTCTGTTTGGATTGCCTTCAGAATTGGGTTGAAAAACAAGGAAAGTTAGTGTGCCCAACATGCAGACAATCACAGATGATTCCCGAGGGCGGGCTACAAAATCTTCTTCCAAACATATTTGTCAATAATATGTTGGAGTGTTTGGAGAAAGTAGAAAATGCAGGTGACACTGTATGTTGTTGTTGCAGCCAAACCAAAGCTGATTTTTATTGCCAACAATGCAGGACTTCCTTGTGCTCTGTTTGTATTAAGCAGCATAAGATTTTATCAACACTTGTTAGCCACACATTGCATCCCATAGAGAAGATCAAGACGATGACATTGCAGCAGTTTTCGTCTCTCCACCCAGCGTTATGTCCTGAACACAACGAACCTCTGAAGTATTATTGTACGAAATGCGAGACCGCTATTTGTATTCACTGCACTATTATTAAACACAAAGATACAGATGGTAGTCATAATTATATTGATATATCGGATGCGTTCGATAAATTCAAACAAAGGGTTGCTGATATTGAACCCAATATTATGGTTTTTAAAACAAAGATAGAGATGCGTCATAATGATATCAGACTTGGTATCTCAAACCTAACTAAACATAAAGAAACCTGTGAAAAAGAAATTGACGGACTGGTGGAGGAAGTTATAGAAGTTGTCAGAGAAAATGGCGCCGCATTGAAAAAAGATGTTGATTGTATTTATCAGCAGAAGAGACTTGCCTTTGAAAATCACGATAAAGAACTTAATACAATCTTTACAAATGTCACTAAAAGATGGAACTACATTTCAAATCTGTTGAAAAGTGATGTAGCAACAGCTGTGGGATCATGTGAAAAAGCAATTGCAACACTGAAAGAATCAGTCCAAACTCCATCTGAAATCGAAGCAAAATGTTGGGAAACAATACATTTCTCTCATAATAAGGGGAATATCATTGCATTGAAACAACACGGTATTGGTAAGATAATAGAAAATTACATTGCGGGCGAGATTACAGAGAATGACATCATTGCTAGTGAAATTACAGAGAACTTAGCGTTGGAAGACCATTTTGAAATCATACAAGCATCTGATGAATTAATGTCAGTTACTCAGAAGCAAGTATTTGAAGTAAAATTTGTTCAACGTCATTCTTGTAAATTGGATTTGAAATCACTGAGAGCCATATTAGTACACGCTACAGGAGCTACAATGAAGAAGAAAGTTAAAGAAGAAGGCAACGGAAGTTACAGTGTCAGTTTCTATAGCAAGTCGCCAGGAGTTGCACGTGTTCATGTATGTGTTGATGAAAGGGACATAAAGGGGTCCCCCGTAGATATAATTGTTGAAAAAAGTGGATATAGTTGGTGTTTTGACATTGAATCATATAAAAAGAATAGTCAGACAAGGATCAGGGATGTAGTATTTGGTAAATTTATAATTGTTGCAGGCAATAGCAATGAAATTCTCCGGTTCTACGGCGGGAGTTATGTAGATAGTATCACTTTGCCTTCAGGTACCAAAGTCAATAGAATGTACCAAATGAAAAAGAGTGATGACCTGTTATTAAGTGACGGAGGACATAAACGTATTCTGGTTTACTCCAAGTTCAATTTGAATAAAATCTTAAAGTGGTTCGAATTAAAGGAGCCACATGGCCTCACCATGAATGAAAAAACAGATATGGTTTATGTTGCTGACAGGCAAGCTCATTGCATATTTATTTACGATTTGCATTGCAATCAATTAGTTGAGAAAGTTGGATTGCAAGGCAGTCATTACCTTCATCATATGTCCGCACCTCGTGATGTTGCCATCACCAAAGACGGACACATCATCGTAGCTGATTATGGTAATGACCGACTATTGCTATTAACCTGTGAGGGATCCCCTGTTAAATCCCTTCTGGATGGAGCTGTATACCATCCATGTGGAATCAACGTTGATCCGGATGGGAACATAATCGTTGCTAACAATGAAGAGCTGGAGCTTTACGATAGCAAGGGTGGCTTCATAAAAAGAATCAATGACTTGAATGTCGATTCAGATGATGAGTCGGATGATGGCATTCTAGATAAAATTGAAGGGTTGACAATACTATTGGAAGATTGTCCAAGAAGCGTCGCAGTTGCTGACTATGGAGACAACAAAATCAAAATATTCAATTACTAACTTGGCACTTGGCTTTAGAGCCCCATCTGAGAAACAAGTCAAGTCCCCCACCGACCAGAGCTGGTTGGCCAGTCAGACCTAAAAAAAAAATACTAATAGGCCTACGCCAAGCCACAGATGGCCGGAAATGGCACTCTTAGACTCTCAGAGTGCCATTTTCGGCCATCCAGAGGTACCTATTAAAAAAAAAATCTCATTTTGGAGGGTGACAACCCTCACCAGCTCGGCCACACTCCCCTCAGATGGCGCTGCGCGCAAAAGTTATCCTTTCCTCACTTAGCCCCACCCCCTGTCCAACAGATTAGCAACCCGACCTCCAGAAAACATATCCTACAGACGCCACCGACAACATGTACCAGTAATAAATACAATATATCATACAGAACTGTATATTATCTCATTGAGGAAAGAAGCAGATTATATCAAGGTAGTGTTATAAGCCGGACAAACACCGTGCCCGACGGTCGGCGGTAAAGCGGTCTTATAGAGAACGCAACATGACGACATGCACACAACGGATCGTTTTTAATGAAGATCCACTCGGACTGCCGCCGACAATCAACAGACGGCGTCGCGTGGTCAAGCACTCACAGAGTGCGGAGATTGATTCGCCGACCGACGTTCGTACTAATCCATAAATAAAATCTCAAAGTTTTATCAAGTGTTATCAAAATATACAGCAGGCTTTGCTTACGCTGATCTCTAATGACCGTGCACACAGAATGGCGTAAGCTTATTGACAGGTAGTTATGCTTATAGAGGGTCTATATTGAATAGGCCTATACAGTTGAATAATGATTTATTAAAAAATAAATTGTTATACAACAGTATTCGTAATATACAAGTCGGTGTAAGCATACTTACTGTATATATAAGCTTACGCTATTCTGCGCATGGTCATTGTAAATATTGATAACGCTCGATAAAACAAATAGAATGAATTATTGCTGCTATAGTATAATACTATCAGCGATAATTCATTTATTGAACAAACACCTATCAGTACCACATGCTTTTACACGGTGCGTTCCTACAGGGAACAGTTTTACCTGTTCTCTGGTTCCTCACACAAATCACATACGCCAGCCTAAAAAATAAAGAAAATAGGCATTATCACAACGTTGAATCCCGCAATGAATGAAAGTTGTCCATACACTTGTAACAGGACGGGATTGCCACCTATCTTATGGGCAGTGACTAAGTCTCAATCTTTGGCCAGGGGCCTAAAGGGCTAAAATGAAAAATAATTTAAAAACATGAGTTATTAATTGTAAAGTTTTTTGTTTTTTTTATGTGATCATATATTAGATAGAATTTACAAAATTAGTCTAAATTTGTAAAACGTTACTGCTCTATTATAGTCAATAGGTTTCCCATGTTTAGGCATGTCAGGTTGCCTTGTGTGTTAATGGTTAAAGCAGCTCGGTATTATTAGGCCTATTATTAAATTATAGAATGTAGAATGACTTATAATCATACATATACAGTACTAATTTAAGTAAGGACAAAATATTTGTTACAATTAACACCCAGGCGCCTGCACAAATATGGTACAGTATTTAAAAAATATATATGGTACAGTATATTACCTATAGCGCATTCCTTTAAGCGTCTTTTTTAATAAGGACATTTTTGGGTTCATATTTATATCAATTAAAATATCGTAAAATACCAATTTACACTAACAAGCATTTACAACCACTTGCCACTGATACAAAGGCACATGGTAACTAAATAATCGTGTTAAATAAAGTGACCATGTTAACCCCCATATTTTAATTGATATATTTGGGTTTTAAGTTTTTAAATACACACAGAGTATAAAGATTGTCTACATTTATATTTAAAAACATTACTGTATAATCCAATTTTTATTATAATTACGCTATTCTGCGCATGGTCATTGTAAATATCGATAACGCTTGATAAAATGAATAGAATGAATTATTGCTGCTATAGTATAATACTATCAGCGATAATTCATTTATTGAACAAACACCTATCAGTACCACATGCTTTTACACGGTGCGTTCCTACAGGGAACAGTTTTACCTGTTCTCTGGTTCCTCACACAAATCACATACGCCAGCCTAAAAAATAAAGAAAATAGGCATTATCACAACGTTGAATCTCACAATGAAATGAAAGTTGTCCATACACTTGTAACAGGACGGGATTGCCACCTATCTTATGGGCAGTGACTAAGTCTCAATCTTTGGCCAGGGGCCTAAAGGGCTAAAATGAAAAATAATTTAAAAACATGAGTTATTAATTGTAAAGTTTTTTGTTTTTTTTATGTGATCATATATTAGATAGAATTTACAAAATTAGTCTAAATTTGTAAAACGTTACTGCTCTATTATAGTCAATAGGTTTCCCGTGTTTAGGCATGTCAGGTTGCCTTGTGTGTTAATGGTTAAAGCAGCTAGGTATTATTAGGCCTATTAGTTATTAAATTATATAATGTAGAATGACTTATAATCATACACATACAGTACTATTTTAAGTAAGGACAAAATATTTGTTACGATTAACACCCAGGCGCCTGCACAAATATGGTACAGTATTACAAAAATATATATGGTACAGTATATTACCTATAGAGCATTCCTTTAAGCGTCTTTTTTAATAAGGACATTTTTGGGTTGATATTTATATCAATTAAAATATCGTAAAATACCAATTTTACACTAACAAGCATTTACAACCACTTGCCACTGATACAAAGGCGCATGGTAACTAAATAATCGTGTTAAATAAAGTGACCATGTTAACCCCCATATTTTAATTGATATATTTGGGTTTTAAGTTTTTAAATACACACAGAGTATAAAGATTGTCTACATTTATATTTAAAAACATTACTGTATAATCCAATTTTTATTATAATTTTTATCTTAGTACTGCTTGTGTCAACGTTGTAAACAAAATCATTTGCTCGCCATTGTTCTTTATGTAAAAGTTATGTCTTTAATTTGCAAAAGCCTTTTTGAAATTATAGTTAATGACGTATCAGAATTGCTTTAAGTATTAGAGTTGCTTTAGAATATCTTTTATATAATATGCCATTACTCATTTGACCGACAGGACTTCACAGACTGATTATCTAAACAATATGATAGCGAAAGCTCAAGGCGGTCTTCGTTCGTGTTTATATGAATTCAATCAAAAATATCAAATAAATCACTATTCAACAATTTTCTCTAGTACTGCATAATTATAGAAGCTGATATTAATATAATACAAATTTATCTTGATATATAAAAAAAATAAAAAACTAACAAAGTGTTTATTTAAAATGTTTAAAGTGATGATGTAAATCTGGTTTTAAGGATAATGTGGGAAGTTTTAACAAAGTTTTAAAGTGACACCAGTGACACTATATTATATATATATATATATATACATATTAATATATATATACATATACACACACATATACATGCATACACATACATGCATACACATACACACATACACGCACACACATATATATACATACATATTATATATATACATACACATATATATATACACATACATATATATATATATACATATATATATATACACATACATATATATATACACTGACACACATATATATACATATATACATATACATACACACACATATATATATATACATATACATATATATATATATACATACATACATATACATACATATACATATATACATATACATATATATATATATATATACATATATATATATATATATATACATATATATAAATATACATATACATACATATACATATATACATATACATATATATATATACGACTATACACTACCATAGGGGGAAACGTTAACAATGGAAAGGGTTAGAAATAATACCTTAAGGCGAAAATACTGCCGCTAAGGGGAAATTTTAACGTTAAAATGTAGACAAAGGATTTTTCACCCCGAGTTAGTTAGGAGTATGTGTGTGTGTGTATATATATATATATATAAGTATGTGTGTGTGTGTATATATATATAAGTATGTGTGTGTGTGTGTATATATATATATATAAGTATATATATATATATATATATATATATATATTTATATATAATCACATAAACAAAAAGTTATTTAAAACTTTACTTCCCAAATTTTCCTGTTAGCCTGTAACTATTCCAAATCTGATGATATATTTATCTAATGTTAAATAGACAAATTAAACACATTTATGGAAGCAATATATTACAATGTTTTATTGTTTGCATGACCCTTGACATACTGTACATAAGGAGTATGAGTAGATCAATTAATGTTACATTATCATTACAACTACACAAATAAACGCCCACACATAATGCGTAAATTAGCAGAAATTAGGCATCGAAAAACAAAAATACAAAAAATATTTTATTCAATTCAATTTCTTAAGTGTGCACGGCTAATGCCCTTTTATTATTTTATTCAATTATGTATGCTTACCAATGCAATTATGACGGCAAACATTATGTTTTTGTTAAGGGAAAGAAATAATTTTTAGGGCAATTTTGGAGAACATTTTGCATATTTATACATTATGTAAAAATTTATACGAAATTAATCTAGATACTTTAAACATAACTAGTTGTCAAAAATAAAAGTAAAAACATACAGCTTATTCCAAACAAACATGTATATATTAAAGATAACTTTTAAGTATAGGATAGTAAAAAAACGAGCACTACCATAATTTGGTAACATGGTGAAATGATTTTGGTCGTCGTGTTAATCTAAATAAAGATGAGTATGAGCAGTCAGCACTTTACAGACTGACCAACTAAACACGAGATTTCTTTCACAAAGCAAACCTTTTACAGTCACGTGAATATGTTCTGACAAAAGCTGTTGGTTATATAAATTCAAGTTCAGTAGTCAGTAAGGCAGTGTCTAGAAATAGGCCCTATACCTCAATATCTATGCAAAGTTTGGTGAACGGATAGAATAATTCATATATTACACATTGACAACAGAAAAACTTATTCTTTTTTTAGATTCATTTAAATTGATTCAAAAAGATGATTGTTCATTTGACGATTGCCAAAACATGCAACGAAAAAAATGTAGCCTACTGCATTCGACTGTACGCTTCGAAATCGTTCACCACTAGAGCAAATAATCTTGGTACTTGAAGCAAAGTTTTTGGAAACAGGCTCAGACTTAGGCCAAAGCTTTCATTGTTCCATAAAGTACCAGTTTTCCATTTACAAAAATTATCTTCGTTAATACCAATATTTATAAGGCGTGATTTAAAAAAAAGATACTGTACAATGATTGTCATTAGTATGACAAAATATAAAATATAATAAACATTCTGATATTCTAAATTCATATTATAATAATTCTTCACTGATTCTAATAGGACAACTTAAATAATCGTCCAATATGATGACATGTTTAAAACTGAGACTAGTATTTAGTTATCACACATGATAAATAATCATTCTAACTAAAATTATAATTTACCTTTTGTGAACAATTAAACTGAATAAACTTAAAAACTAATATTAAATTATTCAATAATTATTCCGAGTAGGTCGTTAGTTTAATCTAATAGTGATGAATAATAACAGACCATTTATAGTAACAATAAAGCCAACAAAAAGTAATGTATTATAAATTTAATACCATTATTTACATCATGGTACTTTGGAAAGTTTAACTTATAATACACTGATCATCAATTTACTAAATAATTTGTAACAAAATTAAAACTCTCCCACCACCCTTAAATTAAATTAAATTATATTGAAAATATCATTATTAAATACAAAGGAGCAACCAATAACAACATGTATGCCAAACAAGATGCAAGAGTTAGAAAGGCAGTTAGCTCAGCCAAGACACACACATGAAGCATTTATTAACAAATATGTAAAATATTGGTAGAAAAATATTAATGTTGAGTTTTTTTTTTTACCTACCTCAATTATTACTTTATCAATGTTCTAAACCTAAACAACATGATTTATACGAATTCAAAGATGTATAAAATTGTGTTATCTATTTGTTTTCATCAATAAAAATGGTGGAAATGGTTAAAACCTAACAGGAAGATAAGCGAGTCAATGAAAGCAGGGGTTGGATAAGGCAATTTCCTAGCCTTACCCATACTCTACAATAAGCAAGCACTTAAGTACGACAGACTGAGAGTATTAACCAATCCCAAAGTTAAAATAATCACGCACCAAATGATTTCCATTTCTATCCACATAAAAACAAAAAATAAAATATATATCATTACACAAAGTAACTGTGTAATTGTCATAAAAATTGGCATACAAAATTACAATAGAATAGTATAAGAAAACAGTAATAAATAAAAGTATGCAGTGTCTTTTGTTAATTTAAACACACAAACTATAATTAGATAAATTTAAATTATTCCTCCTCACTGGACTGAAAGACAGTGTGTATTAAACTCTGGAGTAACATTTCAGGATAAAGTGACAGGGGAGATAATTACCTGTTCTATTTACAAACAACAATTTGGTCATTATACAAGACCATACTACAGTATTTACCTCACCGTCTGTATGAATACTATAATTTGTGATGTCAAAAGCTAGCGAAAAACTATAATAGCCAGAAGCATAATTTATAATCATAAAGGCTGCTATCAACACAGTAAAAGTGGTTATCAACTTAAATAGAGCTGCAGTCATTCTAAATATTAACTACAAATTAATATCTAACATACCTAAAAAAACCAAAATATAAACACTGTTAGTCTATATCGCTCAGTCACATGTACAATAATTTACAAAATATGAAATTATCACCAGTACTTATAATATTTAAGTTAAATACTTGAATAAATACAGGAAGCAAAGAGAAAATATTTGGTACAAAAACTGTTAATCTGCAAAATATTTTGAATGACTGCTACTGGGCTTGCTCTGTCATTTCTAGCCAATACCAATTTAATAGAAACATTTATTTGTTTCTTTAATAAAAAAATAAGTGGGTGGGGAGTGGTTTTGGTAAATTTCAGTCTAATGCACAAAAAACAATGGTAACACTTTTTATGGAAATCAATTTTTGTATTCTAAATTAGTACTGGTCATATTAGGTATTTTTTTAAATCGATCAGAGGGATATGAGAAAATTTGGATTGTATCAGCTGATCAAAGACCGCTGACAACAATGATAAACTAGAAAAACACAAATTGATAAACAATTAGTTAATAAAAAATGAAAGATACTACAAACATAATGTGCAAGTATATTGAATCTATAATGAGTTACATGCACCAATAGTAATCTGCGATAATTAAATGATTTCCAAATGGTCAATGTAAAATCAGAACACAAATACATTTGATAAAAAACTCAATCAAAAGCACTTAAAGCATAATTTGAATATTTATAATACTGGTACAGAATTATTATTTGAACACTGGTTAAAAAAAATCTGCAACCTTATAATTGTTCATTCAAATCTGTCAGCTTTGAAAATTTAGTTAGTTTACTTGGTTAGGGCGAGTCTTTTTTATACCTTGTTCAGCGATGAACAATAACGATGATTTCAAATAAAAATAACACTTAACATTTTTCGCCAATTAGCGCACATGTCGCCACAAAAATGGAAATTTCAGGAAAAAAGATTTTCTTTATTTTTTATTAAACACATCGTTCCCATTATTACACTGTAAACATTCACCAATAAAATTGGATTTTATTATCTCCTCTGGATGTGTTTGGCAAAAATGCTAAATAAGAAAACAAAATCATATCTTATTTTTTCTGCCCTCCTCTGACGATCCTTAAAAAATAAGTTCTCGAAACAAGGTATAAAAAGTGTCTCGCATATTCTGTTATTTTTCATACTGTCTACTAACAATATATTTGTCAACAACTCCTGCTACAATAGATACAATTGTAGAGTAGTGTATTGTATTGTGTATCAGTTGAAACTTATTGCTTTCCCATCCAAAAATCAGCTTCATTTAGTAAGTCCCTGCTACAGATAGCAAATCCCTTTAATTTTCAAATTAGCTCCAATTCAGTTAATTGCTATAAATATGGATCAGCCCCAGTTCTTTCATTAAATTTTGGATTATCTTTAGTTATCTAATCTATTCCCATTGCAGATCAGTTCTAGTTAGTTAATCTCCCTTCCCCTACCCCCTACCCCACGGACCAGCTACAAGTTAGCAACACATATTGCGACTAAAGTAAGTTTAAATCTTCCTACTTGGGATGTGTATTATCTCATGTGGAAGAATACATTTCAATTTCTTGTGGGCTTACATTTTTGGTACCAATAATTTGCATAGAATATCTTCATCCATAATAATTATAATTAAATTGAATGATCATTATAAAAAAGTAGGTTCCATTATTATTGAATCATATTTTAACATGCACATAATTAACAATAATTACATATATGCGCGCACACACACACACCAACACACACACCAACAAACACTCACATGAACCAACACACAGTTACTCACACACACCCCAACAAGTGCCAACAGTGCACCTACACACACACACACATTTAATTATAATATCAAAATAATTTCATTATGCTAATTTAAAATATCAAAATATTTAAAAGAAAAATGATATAAATCTGGTGGGAGCATACATACAAAATAAATCAGTATTAGGATTTTGTTTACAACTGGTGTAACAATAGCCACTGCACAGCATTTTGTAAATCTGCTAAGCTAAGTCAGAGAGTGGGCTTCTACCTCGGGAAAAGCTGGTACATGAAATTACATATGTACTGTAATGTATGTACTGTATG